CTCAACTACAAGACGCAGCGGAAACAATGCTCCTCTGCATTAATCACAGCAAGCGGAGACCCCTTGAAAGCGTGTTCTAAGATAGGTTTAGAGTTAACGATAGACAAGAATCCTTCTCAACATGAATTCTTAGTTTGCCCCACACTGACTTGGGACATTATACTCGGGTTTGACTTCATGTTAAAATACCAGGTCTCTATACACATGGATAAGTCAGAAGCGAGTATTAGTGGGGTTGTCGTGCACCTACAACACCATGAGATGCCAACTGAACCCACAGCCCAGGTGGGAATTTTATAAATTGTACGTCAGGTACAGGATAATCAAATAATAAGCGAAAAGGACCGTCGAGCAACCATTGATGTACTCCAACAATTTAGTTTTGTTTTCTCGGGGAATATCTCTGGAAATCGGACGACCAATGTACAACACTCCATTCTCACAGGTGACTACATGCCATTACGCCAACCACCTCGCAGAGTACCAGTACACTATCAGCCTAAGTTAGAATAAATGATAAGAGAGATGCTAGAGAAAAAGATTATTGTACCGTATTCATCACCCTGGGCTTCGCCCATTGTTCTATAACAAAGCGTGACTCCTTTCCACTTCCGCGGATCGATGCTACGTTAGACACTATGAAAGGTGCGTGTTGGTTCTCGGCTTTTGACCCAGCATCCAGATACTGGCAAGTGGAAGTACGACCCCAGGACGGCAAGAAGACTGCATTCGTCGTGCCAAATGGACTTTATGAATTTCAAGTGATGCCCCTCAGGTTAACTAATGCCCCAGCAACCTTCCAACGATTGATGCAGACAGTTCTACAAGGCCTTGTACCGCACAAATGCTTAATTTACCTTGATGATGTTATTATGCATGGCAGCACGCCAGAACAGTATAATGTCAATTTGAGGGCAGTCCTACGACGTATTAAGCAGCCTAACTTAAAAGTGAAACCATCTAAACATCGACTCTTGCAAAAAGAAGTGCTCTTTTTGGGACATCGCATTACGGAAGATGAAGTAGCAACAGATAAGGGAAAAACGAGCGCCATTATTATTTGGCCACAACCGAAATCTACCGAGGATGATCGCAGCTTCCTGAGGCTCGCCTCTAACTACAGACGTTTCGTATGCGATTTCTCATCCCTCGCAGAACATTGACATCGCTTGATGCATAAAGGACGAAAATTTCTGTGGACCACAGAATGTCAACAGACATTTAGCACTTTGAAGTCATGTCTTGCTGCTCCATCCATACTGGCTTTTCCAGACACTTTGTCTAAAGCGGGTGAGTTTATACTTGGTGCAGATGCTAGCTCATCAGCTATTGGAGCAGTCCTGTCTCAAATAGCACAAGATGGGCAGGAGCGGGTCATAGCGTACGCTAGTCGGCGGTTAGATAGAGAGGGACAAGGTACGCGCCGAGGGATGCTGGCTTTGGTGAAATTTTTGCAGCATTTTCGTCACCACTTCCTAGGACAACCCTTTGTGTACGCACAGACCACCGTGCACTACAGTGGCTTCGTTCGTTCCATGAACCAGGAGGTCAGGTGGCGTGCTGGCAGGAGAGGTTGCAGGAGTTTGATTGTACTTGCGAATACCTACCCGGAAGCCGAGACACAAACGCCGATTCTCTGTCTCGTATACTCTATTCCCCTAATACTATTAGTGCTGTCCTTAGCACAGCCCCGAGATCGACTGGCCGTCTTTTCAAGCAGCAGACCTGATCTGCCATTCATTTATCCAAGGCAACTACATAGAAATAATAAACCATCTATGGCAGAGTTGAGGGATCATTCCTTGGCGACGCGCTGTCTTTGTGCCAAGTGGAGCAGTCCGAGATTGTATGGAGAGACGTTATTTATAATCAGTAAATCGAAACAGCCACTGTTGATAGTACCACATGTACAAGTTCAGAATATTATGAAGCAGGTGCACCGAGAACCTTGGCACTCGGGAAAATGGAAGACCGAGCATGCGATCTGCCAAAGGTTTTGGTGGCCGACGCATATCACCTAGTTAAGATCAACCTACAAAAAGATGTGTACGACCGCAAGGCGAATGGGCCCGTGTATAAACCCGGAGATCGTGTTTGGCCGCACCGTCCTTTGGCCCACCAGGGACATGCAGCAAGTTCCACCAACCTTGGCAAGGACCTTATGAAGTTGTGTTTACTCGGTCTCCCACTACATTCGTCCTACGTAACGTCCAACAGCTCAACACGATGTTATAACGGCACACTACAACCAATTGAAGCCAGACAGAACAACCGTGCACTCAGATACTCCGTTCGTCAACCCACTGACTTCCGTCAGCCACTATGAAGTGCCACCAGAAGGAGGGGTAGCATACCCATGTCCAACACCAGGCACTGAGGACAGTGCCTCATGGAGTGTGGGGGTAGTGAACGTACTAGAAGAAGAGGAACAAGCCCTAAGCAAGCTGAACATGCAGAACAATGAATAAACCCATTTTATAATTAGCTTCCATTTTTATACTCGAACCGCGTTTTACAATTTTTAAATATATCTCTGTTGTGCCAGTACTCCGTGTCCTTACTTCAGTGACATTTGTCGGTCCTGACTGTTGTGTTGTGTTTCAAATCGATCCAGGTCCTCCGATCCCCTAATTCGTCCCAACGTTGGACCCAAATAGATCACATCGCTATCAGCTACCGATGGAGGGGCTCTATAGAAGACTGTCGCTCATTCTGGAGCACATGCTTAGATTCAGATCATGCTCTAGTACGAGCGCGTATCTGTCTGCGTCTTACTGGACGTAGAAAAGACGCTGCAAGTAAACCTCTTAGGGCCCTACTTAACGATAGTCAAGCTAAGAGTATATTTCAGGAACAACTAGGAAAACAGTTACGTAGCCATGTATGTGATGTCCACCCCGAGGCAGCATGGAATGATATCCGAAAAGCTGTGGAAACAGCAGTGATATCTGCTAGTACGGTAAACCGTAAGGTTAGGGAGCAACACTGGATCTCAGCAGCATCTATCGCATTGATAGATGCTCGGAAACTCATTCCACCTGGCTCTGAACATAATGAGGAGCGGAGTCAGCCTAAGCGCAAGCTGACAAGAAGTCTACGCAATGACCGTGAACAGTGGTGGGTAGCGAAAGCAAGATAGATGGAAAAGGCAGCGGCAATAGCAGACAATTGTTCAGACTTGTTAAGGAAACCGGTATTAGGAAACCGACTGTTGAAGTTGAAAAAGCCATAGGAAATCTGAAGCGAGGGAGAGCAGCAGGCCCTGACAGGTTTACTCCTGAGATTTTTAAGGATGGTGGTCCAGTATTAGCAGTGAGATTAACTGAGGTCTTAGGTAGAATTTGGGAACTGGACGTAATCCCATCTGACTGGTCTCAATCACTGATTGTGCCAGTCTATAAGAAAGGACAAAAGTCCTCTTGTGACAATCACAGAGGAATCAGTTTGACTAATATAGTGTCTAAAATATTAGCTTCAATAATACTTCGACGCCTAACTAAAGCTCGTGAAGAGCAGACTAGAGAAAATCAGGCTGGTTTTCGACCTGGACGTGGTTGTATAGATCAGATATTCACACTACGTCAGGTTCTAGAACACAGACACACATTCAGACGCCCCACAATGGTAGTATTTCTCGACCTTAAGGCGGCATTCGACTCTGTTGATCGTGAGGTTCTATGGCAGTGTTTGTCACTGAAAGGAGTACCAAAGAAGTACATTAACCTTATAAAGGCTCTCTACTCGAACACAACTGGTAGAGTGAGAGCTTATGGCGAACTGTCATCAGAATTGATTACCTCAAGTGGTGTTCGTCAGGGCTGTCCACTCTCCCATTCTTGTTCAACTTTGTGTCGACGTACTTTTAGAGATAACACTCTCCTCATCTAAATTTCCAGGGGTTGAACTTCTACCGGGAGGTTCACTTGTTGACTTAGAATATGCTGATGACATAGTTTTATTTGGTGAAGACGCTGACAAAATGCAGAGTCTTCTGACCACTCTAAGCAACAATGCAAGCATGTTCGGGATGCGATTCTCCCCTCGAAATGCAAAATGTTGCTTCAGGATTGGGTTGCATTGACACCCGAACTAATGATAGGGAGTGAAGTAGTTGAGCGTGTCGACCGCTTCACTTATCTTGGAAGTCTCATCAGCCCTTGTGGTCTGGTGTGTGACGAAATCTCAGCACGGATACAGAAGGCTCGACTAGCTTTTACCAACTTGCGTCATTTATGGCGTAGGCGAGATATCCGTCTATCAACCAAAGGACGTGTTTACTGCGCAGCAGTTCGTTCCGTCCTACTTTATGGCAGTGAAACATGGCCGGTAAGAGTAGAGGATATTCGTAGGTTACTAGTATTTGATCATAGGTGTCTTCGAAATATTGCTCGTATATCATGGGACCATCGAGTAAGTAACGCAGTTGTTAGGAAACGGGTACTAGGTAAGGATGGCAAATCAATTGATGACGTAGTGAAACTTCATCAGTTGAGATGGCTGGGACACGTGTTACGTATGCCCAACGACCGACTGCCTCGACGTGCGATGTTCAGTGGTATAGGAGTAGGTTGGAAGAAAGCTAGGGGCGGCCAGACCAAAACATGGCACAAGTCCATGAAGTCACTGACAAGTGGACTGAGTCATGTTGGTAGGTGTAGACTACCTGGTTGGGGACCGCGAGATGATAGCAACCGATGGTTAGAGACCCTGAATGACATGGCTCAAAATCGTTTGCAATGGCGCAGGTGCATCCACTCTTGTGTTCTCCCAAATTTTGATCTCTTATTCCTCCTTGTCTCTTTTTTTTCTCTTCCCAAATTTATTTCACTGTATTATACTCTTTAAATAACATCTCCAAACACTAATCTTCCCGATTACTGCTTATACTCTTATTACCTCTACCACTACGGGATTTGAATCGACCACTGCATCTCTGTGCTAATGTGGTGTGGCAACTCGAACTGATGTACGTACGTACGAAGTTCTACGTTGTTACTGACTGACTGAAACGCTAACAGTACGTGCTACAAATATAATACGTTCGTTTGTGCTCATATAGTCCTACCTGCCTTAAACTGCACTGTTTCCGGAATTTTCAGTTAGCACATTAGTTTGAATACTTCTAATAATCATAGCTTTATATAAACCAGATAGAGTGAGGAAGTTATAGAACGGAATTAAGAGATTGATAAAAGGGAGTGCGTAATAAACAAACAGCGTTGTCAGAGTTGGCATGGGAAGGACAAAGAACTCCTTAATTTATGATTTGACAATCAGATACATTAAGCAATGGCAGTAACACCGTAAAACAAATTTGAGAGGACATGGTTTGGAATGTGAGTAATCGGCAATTGCTTTGTATTTTGAACCGTGCCTTTAGATGTTGCGCTGAATCGCCCCATCAAGCAGCACCGCAACACAATATATAGAAGGAAGTATAATGCTTACCTCATAAAATACGACATTGTTAGATGGAGTGGTAAATGTAACAGTAATGTTTCGCTACAGTGGTCAGTCATCAGTAGTAAGAGATCAATCGACCTATACTACTCCTTGAAGTTTGTTGTAAAGATCCAATCTTGCTTTCAGATTATCGAGAGGAGGTGCTGACATTACGTGTTCACGCAGTGAATTCCAATAATTTGCTATTCGGGACGTGAAACGGAAATCCAGACGTAAACGATTGGCTCCCGTATTTCGAACATACTTAAAATGTCTTCTCAGATCGTCGGTCCTAATAAGAAAGAAAAGACACGATAGGCCAGTATTAGGTCGGCCTGTTAAGCATGAAAGGCCTTGACTGAAACCATGTAGTCCCCTGGCTAAAAGATTATTCCCTCCCAGCAACTTTCTCTAGTAACTCACCCATAATACTTTACGCAAATGAAGATGTGAAAACAAGCATAAATGCGATTCCACGCTGTATCGAATAGCGTAGTATTATTTATTACGGTTTATTTGTAAACAAATTGCTAATCATGTTTACAGAAGTATATTTGATGTGACCAAGCGGTTTAAATACGATAATCTGAACAGATTTGAACTGATAACACACAAATTGACAACAAATCTGACTGGTAACCGCAGAGTTTCATATTTTAGTAACCTGTGGAATAATAGGAATTGAAGTGTGGCCCATGACTGGGTTTTAGGAAAAATACTACATTAAGTGCTTAGGGAACCAAAAATTTACATTGAAAGTGTGACTAAATAATTTTCATCAGTCGATTAGACGATAAAGAAGATTGCTCGATGAGGTTCTTCTGACGACTCAGCAGCATGAAACGAAATGTGGAACAAGAAAGTTATCCTTCATTTCCCGTCTTGGACTGTTAATTTCTGCCTCAGATTTTGCCTATTATTGTTATCGCAAGAATCCTGTCAAACTGACTTAAGTCGAAACGTTAAAGATCCCAACCAGCTTATCATATTTTATGAAGACAAGCATTTTGATCAACCACTTATTATTAACTTGATAGCAGAAGGCCAAATAGCTTTTTTGAAAACTTATTTCAAACATATGGCTTCGCCACAGCTACGATCAAAGACGAGGGACCATGAGAATACACACAACGGTTAGTAGAAGGTGCATACAACATGCTTTTATTACAAAAACTTAGAGGAATATATTGGTCTGAATGTTTGGATGGTCTCACACAAAAATAGATGTCTGAATATCTAGATGCTTTCTTCAAGTCCAGACTTAGAGTAGACCAGTCGTTGTGTTATACTGAAACTGGTCAACCTAGGTATCTCTATAACTGGTGTTCAGGCTTTTGAATAATCTCGAGTAAACCCATAATTCTATAGGAGATTTAGCCTGCGTTAAATACTCAGTTAACGGGATACTATTTATTGGAGTCAAATATAGAGGAAATTAGCCTCTACACAGGCACCCCCTCCATTAGCTACAGGTTCTTCTTAGGGAATCAACTAATATAACCATAGTCCGGTTTTCGATAGATCCCACTATAAAATAAGAAAGATTGATTCAGCCCACTACATCGTGATGTCTAAAGGTTAACACATTTTGCGAATAACTGTCACAACATTGAACCATATAACAAAAAATACCACTTTTTCCAATATGTAACCTATCTAACACTTCTGGTATGAGGGAAATAGTGCAGTCGTAGTAATTTATAAATTATTAGAGTATTGAACTGAAGCACCTCATAATTTTTACAACAGTTGAAACCCGTACGAAAACATAGGAAATGGCCAACAAAATGCAATAAAAGAACAAGGTAATGGTGAATAATCACGTATTTTTTGTTTACAAAATTATGCACACACTATAACATTACATATATTCAGCGCATAAACTGATTTTCATGTTCTGTGAGTATTTTGGCAGATTGTTTTGCATTAAGAAATAGAGACCTTACTTCTTCGATATCTGAAGGTTCGACTTCATCTCTTCCACTCAACTGAGCAAGACGACATGCCGGGGTCAAAAGTTGGACAGCATATCTAGGAAAATAACAAAAAACTGTTTAATTTGGTGAGAAACAAAGAAATTCAGCAAGACAAATATTGTACAGAACAATCTTAAGTTTCTAAGCTGAAATATAAATATCTATAACCATGAGATTATAACAACTGCCATGGGCGTTCTACTCATTGCCTTCGTACGACGAGTGTTATTTACAGAAATGAGAGAAGGAAAGTGGATGTTCGGAAATTCAACCGGCTTGGTGGGACCACGTAACAGAGTTGGCAAACCGTGATTTCAAACCAACTGTGCACATATGGGTTCCAAGATCCTAAGGAAATGATTAATGTACAAACCCACTTTGGTAACCGACTACCATGGGACATTTCCTAATGTTGCCTCACTGCTTTGTTGGTAAAACTGATACAGTGGGCCAATTAGAAATAAGTGAATGTGATTGGCCGAAAAATATATTTCATTTTCAAGCAATGAAACATAAACCACTAATAGGCTTAATTTATACTGGACAGATACATATGTATGTAAGTGAGCACACATACAATCGATTGGGCTTACCCAAACAAACATTTTCCTTAGCTTGTCTCTTTTCTCGAGTTGCTAGGCTCATTTATAGATAGCGTGTATCAGTGTCAACTCTCAGAGACCACAGGTCACAACAAAGACCTCTAGTCCGAACGCTCGGAGTGGCTGTCCAAGAAAATCACCTGTCTTGGGTTAAGCACCTAAGCAGTATGTCAGGGCATACAAAGATATGATTATTGGTGAAGAAAACGTTTCCGTACCCCACATAAACCTTATACACGACATATATCAATACCCAATTACAGATATATGTCATACTCTGCTTCGTCTTTCTATTGATTTGTCACTTCAATTTCGCGGATACTTCTCGTTTTTTACCCACTTAGAATCTCGTCTAAGGTGAGTATGTTCTATCTTAATTAAACGTTCTCATTTTGTTCTATAGTCAAATTTATGAATGGTCTCACTAAATGTGACACGTGATACAGCTTCTCTGAAACCGTATGTACCATCTAAATAACCTTTCATGAACATTTAGACTAATGAAGATCATAGAACAGATAGGTTTGGCTGTCTTCGCTAGAGCGAAATACTACAGATTCGCTTTCCGTCTGTCGTTTCGAAAAGTTTGTTTTATATGCGCTTATTTGGGAACTCTGTGGCATCTTCGTCAGTCTAGATGACATGATGTTGCAATAAGCACCAGAGCAGAGGAAGTAGTAATCGATTTGATACCCATTTGCAGTGATTTATGTTGTTAGATTAAAAGGCTCCATCAAAGTGAGAAACTGGCATGAGGAACGTCTTTTAATAACCTTCCCATATGCTCCAACAAATTGTAGCTTGAGTGCAAGCAAGGATGAGTTTTGTCAATAATTTAACGATCTTTTCGAGAAAGTGAGTACGACAGATAATGTAGTGCTAACTGGAGATTCGAATGCACAGGCCAGAGGTCTTAGAACAGAAGAGAGCCACTTGAGTAGTCCATAAAGTAACGAAAATGTGTAGGAAATTGACCTTAAATTGATGACTTTGTCCTTCATAAGTTGTACTTGAGGATCCCATATCCCAACAAAATTCTGATATATATTATAGAGAAATTAAACCTAATTTAGCGAGATCATTGAAAACTTACCGTAAAGTTGTATCTGTAGCGACAGTTGCAAGGCAAGTGAATGCTTGTTCAGATACTTTTATCCCTTCAGTTTGTGCACGTATACGTAGGATTTGGATTACTTCTTCACAAGAATAGGGAAGGGTACGTATGATCATAACACGATCTAGTAAATCTAATGGGATTCCATGAGGAGAAATAATGTCTTCAGTGCCTCTAAATTATAATTGCAAAAGAAAATATCACCAAACAAAAACGAAAACAGTGATAAGAGTTAGAAGACCATTTAAACACAGATGAACACAAATGATTCAGAGAAGCGATACCTTGCAGAGTTGGTTTTCAAAAACATAATACCCTAGCAAACAAAAAATGTTTATAAGCTTATGATTTGTTACATATATATGATTCAGCAGTTTTGGAAATAAATTCGTTGAAAAGAACTTTTCACTGAACTGATTGCTTTGTAACTTAATGAATATATACAAGTTAATTAAAAACACTGCTGAATTGTGTTAACTTAAATAAGAAACACCAAGTGAATGGAAATATGTAGCTGGAAGTATGAAGCATATCTTATTAAGAAAGTCATATCAAGCATACATATGAGACTACTAATAATAGTTGTAGTTGGTAAATCAATATCATTTATATTACTTAATCAGTCAATCGGCACCAACAAATGATTAGAAACGAATATCAATTGATCTAAGCTCTCAATATTAAGACAAAGAGAAAAGAAGTTAACAAGATGAGAACCTAATGAAAGGAATTATTTCTAATTACGTCACTGAGACAGGTATTTCCCAATATTATTCAACACTTCCAACTACTGATTGGGAGTAGTTCGAGGAATCCAACTGGGAAAGCTGTATTTATTTATAGCACTCATACTACTAGTAGTGAATTAGTTCATCGGTTAATGCCATACCTTGATATTCTTGCTCTTAATTTTCCCCCAAGGTTACTCAGCTAAGGATCTAAAATTGACGCTGTAAGCAATGATGGGCAAATTTTAGTAAATTCCAATGCATACCACGATCTTGTGATGAGGAATATTAATTTTTAATACTAAAAAACCGAATTATATAAAGAGATTACACGATTGATAACCAGTTGATTACAATGGAATTATTTCACGATAAATGCTTCGGTTTTGGACTATGGATAATACTAAAGTGTATATGAATGCTATGAGACTAGACCAAATTAATACAAAGCCCAGATTACAAATGTATTTCAAGTGACGTATGTTAAATTTGATAAGACGAGCGATGACTTATTTATTTATTTGAACACATAAATATTGGTACAAGAGAGCGCCAATATATATGCGCCACACAAAACAATGAAAATTCGAAGAGAAATAGAAAGAGAAAAAAAAACTAGGGAACGCAAAAGAAAAAGAGAACAATGACGAAGAGATTGGAGTAAGGTAGTGTGGTAGTAACGACGGAACGAAAAGGTACAATCAGAAGAAATCTTTCAGGTAAAGGAGACACAACCACTTTTTAGAAAGAAAGTAAAAGAAGGTTACAGCAGGATCGCCACTGGCTTCTATTCTGAGCCATATCTGATAACGTCTCTAGCCACTGTGTAGCACCATCTCTCGGACCCCAACCAGGGAGTCGTGAAGGACCAACACAAGCCAGTCCTTTGCAGCTTTCTTTCATGCCACGACACCATGTCATGCACTGACCACCTCTCCGCCTCTTCCAACCAGTCCCAGAGTCGGCAAATAATGCACGACGTGGAATTCTCTGGGACGACATTCGGAGAACATGTCCAAGCCACCGAAGTCGGTGTTTCAAGATGGTGAGCGATGACTTAAACCATAGCGGTGAGAATAATATATGAAACTGACTTGTCCAATCTCCTCTGACATGTAATCACATCTTGAGGAGAAATAATGATATTATTCGGTCATTTGGTTATATCTATTGACTATAGATGGTTAATTTTATATGGTAAGTGTGTCGCTGATTAACTGATGTTATGTACTACTAAGATCAAATTATACAAATTTGACCGCAAATAAACTACATGAGAAGCGTTGCATTTATATAACATTTTGATTTATTTTTGGGATCAAATAATTTTATATCAGCAGTCTGTGTTTTTACTACGCATTATCAGACTTGGGGTTCCAGTACCAAGGGCAAATCAGTTGAGGATTCACATGCATAACAGTGGCATTGGGGATGGAGTGAATTAACTAGAATCTGGATGATTTCAAGAGATATATGAATGCCGTGTTAGTGATGTTAATAAATGCCTAGAACAAATAGCCGAGAATGTCGTTAATACAAACGATAATCTACCACTGATCACTTTTCACATTTACTGTAAAATGACAAAGCAACTTAAATGAAAACGCTGACCATATTATTTCATCAATTTTATAGAACGTATAGTTAACAAAATATTGACGTGAAACTTTTATCAACTCAAGTCGCTTGGTACAGCATCGGATAACAAGTATGATCAAGATCGACGATTGAATATTAATAACACAGTAAGCGATGTTTGTTTTTAGGACTAAATATTTGTCAACTACCACGAAAGACTTCGCTGTTCAGGTTAGTTGCTTGAATAAACAGGTAACAAACAATGCTAATAGTGGTGAAACCAACACTATCCGCTATTAAACAGACAACAGAAAATAGGATAACACAAGAATATATTACGTCTAACAGTATCGATGATTTCACACGGCCCTAACAACTTTCTTCCTTCTCCATTAAACTATCAATTAATTAATGATGCGGATACAAAGTCGTTTTCACACGGATGAGTAGTGAATGAAAGTTGTACTCTCTACAACAACTATTCAACAAAAAAACCCTGGGACGTTGGATAACATAACCTAGTGAAAACACATTACAATTACATATTTGGCAGTGACACTTCATCGACAATTTGTATTTCATAACCATGATTCTAAATCCGAATTAACAGCAGGAATCATTGTGCAACCGAAATTCAATACCAAAATATAACATTGAAAGCAAACTAGTATCAGTTGGGGAAGCTAAAACAATACCTAATTCGATTTGAAATAGTTTAGATTATCCCGTTGCTGATATTTGACTAAAATTTGATCAGTCTTGATTGGTATATTTACACCTTATGAGGATTTCCTCGATATACTTAAACACAACACAGAAAAAATGGAATGTGGCTAGCAATGGAATCCAGGACGCGCCCTTTGTCTTATTTCAGACTCGTCAGTCGGAAGTATGCGAAGCCCGGAATTGATGTCCACCCAATGACTCGAACCCAGAACCATTTACTTCAAACGCCACTGCGTTATCCACTTAGCTACAGAGTCTAAATAGCCACTCACTCGCGCAAGATAGATCTACGTGACAATTTTAAAATAGGACGAAACGCGCGTCCTGAATTACACTGCTAGCCACATTCCATTTATCCCATATTATTACTAACCCCCTCGGTTTGAACAACCGGGCAGTATCATGAGCGCTCACATTTAGAATGTGGTTCGTATCCAAGTACCTGGAGAATAAATTAGCTTAAATCAAATTACTGTCAGCATCAAATTACTAAGATCCTCAGACATAAATGATCTCTTAGTTGATATAAATTTCATCACCATATATCTAAGGTATAGACAGTAAAAATTCACCATAGTAACCAAAAAATATTGCAAGATTCCATGCTCTAAAGACTGAATATAGAAATAACAAAAATGGTTGCTCTTTGAAGCCGTATACCGAATTCATGAAATTAAAATGAGCTTGTATTTTACATAGTTTTCCAACACAACACTGAAAGATACAAAATTATTTACAATACAAATACCATTAATTTAAGAACAGGAAGTATATAAAATAGACAGTTAACTAGTGACATCCCGAAATTAAAAACTGACCCTTTAAGATCAAAACTATAGTAAGATGCTAACTTTGAAAACTGACATCTGATGCGTGTGTATATTCCTGGTTAATTCTGAAAAAACACCATTAATCGAGGAAAACGATAGTTAGCAGCGATTGATAGTAACACTTTTATCATAGTGATGACTATGAGCTAAGGAGTGTAATGTAAATAACAAAGTCTCCGGCTAGAATTTTCCGAATAGTATTAATCACCCAAGTTTTAAATTGTTTATGGATCTCAAAGTAGTCACTATAACGAAAATAAACTTCACAATTCACAAAAGCTATAGTATGTTGTTCAATATGCGGTATTATAACACTTTAGTCATAAATCATTAATTGTACATAAGAATAATAAATGGTTATCACTGTGTTAATTATCCTTGCATCAGTTTGACTCTTCAAAGTGTACATCATGAAACAGGTAAAACGATTAGATAAAATCTGGAAGTTAGTTGAAATTATATAATGTTCACCTTTTTAAGAGTAAAAAAGAGGATAGAAAATATTTTCATTGAATGTATCGAGTTTATACAAATAAAACAAACCTGATGGTACATTTCCCCCGATTGGTAGCAAAAATAACGATGGGTGCGATTGTTGATTCGAGTGCCCGATGAAGATAAGTGAAACATTCGATGTCTAGCATGTGTACTTCATCAATAAACAACACACCAGGAACAAGTTCAGCGATGCCTTGATCTATGTATTTATTAACAACCTTGTTGATTTCCTTCCTTAGTTTATCTGTTTAAAAAAAATGAAATACGCTAGTGGTATTTAGATAATCCCCTCAACAAATAAACATTACAGAACTAAATAGAATATTTACTAGACATAACAAGATGGCCAAGCAACTTGGAATTTAATAATTACTAAATTGTTTGAACTTATCTGAAAAGCCTTGATAGTAAATACTGCTTCAATTTAGAAGAGTAAAAGATGACAGTCCCAAACTAAATTAAATTGGTCCATATTTCCATACTTTACAACATATAAAACAGGAAGTTGATAAGATAAACGAAAAACAGCTAAAAAGCAGTTAGGAATTCAACACTTACATCATGAAAGATAACTTGTTCAAGAACTGCACATCATTTTCTTATTACTCATCTAGATCAAGACATGTTAGCAAAGCTGTAATCACCAACGCGGACGGAGATAACTAGTGGCTTTATAGGCTTACTGTGATCTAAATGATCACACTTTTTTTACTACAATTGACATAATATTCCAGAGTAGACAGTAACTTGTGATGGATTCAACTTGACACTGGTTGTCATGAATTGACAGACTCCCTACCATAGGTCTGTCTTTTTTACAAAGTGTAAATCAACTGCGCAGAATAGGTTATTTAATGTGGGCTACATCTCCATACGAAATATGTTGTCCTATGAATGCTTATTCAGCATTAACCAATTACGCTGTGTTCCAGTGAAATAGTACGACTCCCGAAACCAAGTTAATTTCTACCTAAAGTAACCAGAGATCTGTAGATGTGGGAACCACTTCCACAGCTCACCGTAGATGTAGAATGATGCTAAATATTGGTTATCGAAAACCGTGAACGAATAAGACAATGAAAATATGGTTCGATGTTAAATTATATGATATTCTAATCAGCCGGCAGCAGGGTAGTACCACTAGTCTTCACATGCTAGTGTAAGTTCAAGATGAGTATGAGTATCTGCACTTAGAGTTGAATTATTAATACCTTAATTTGAAAACAAAACTTCTTGCAAAGTAAGGATTACATTAAGTCACGAAACGTCAGAAATGCAGTTTTCTACGCTTTATGATATAACAGAATATTTACTATTAAGGATTAGTAACTTCGGTAGATACTCAGAACGTAGGATTTATCTGCGAAATCATTGATAATACTTTTTTAAAGACGAACAAAAGTGTGGAAACCTCAAGCAACTATCTTAAGCACCAACTTACTATAAGAATTTACGATAACGAGAGTCTGGAGAAAGTATTCAAATGTGTGAAAAACCTGTTTGCATTCCTCTCAGTTAATAAACAGAATTTTGTAGGGAGTAATTGGAGTATGGCTATTTCAGGACCTAATGGGATTAAGCTCATTGACATAACTTCGACCAAGCTTGAGTTACTCTAGGCTAAGCCAGTTTATTACTTGTGATTGCTGTTTTGAGCAACCCAACCCTAGGTTTTTCAAAGTATTAACCATACTGTCTAATGTTCGTTACCGAACCTGTATTTACTAGACCTCTGTATCCATATGCAAGCACTGGTGGTCCTCAAGAAGAACTTATCCTAAGCGGTCAAATAATCTCGTTAAACTGACACTTGATATGCATGCAGTCTTACGATTTTTGACTCAACCCTCAATGATAAGTTATCGATATTTTACAAGTCATAAAACCATGAAACTGAATGTTCGCTGTGATGAAAACAATATTAAACTTTGACTCGCTAATATAAGGAAAACAAACTAGCATAAAAAGCCAAGAGGTATTAAGTTATAAAACTACACCTGTAATTTCCGTCTTTTTCGGTTTCATTAGCTGACCCATCATGAGACAATATCTTGGCCCCCTTGAGGTCGAGCGTTTGCTACATCCAGATCGTGAAGTGTAACATCCTGAACAACATCTTTCTTTTTATGAACTTCCCCTTTTGGAAGAGGGACATACTCGTCAGCTTCTAAATCATATTCAGCTGTATAAACATCACATCTTCCCTGACGCTTTACTGCACCGGAGTTGGCTTCGATATAAATTACATCCCCGACCTCAACATGTTCTTTCTGAAGACTCTCATAAATACATGGGTCTAACTTCAATTGTTTGACACCTTTAGCAGTACGCAAACTGATAATAACGTGACTGATTGTTTTGCCGAAACCTGTTATTTTATTAAACAAATAGGTTCAGTTACCTCCAGTTGGACTTTCTGTTTCTACCGGAGTTAACTCGGTTACTTCTCCTTCATAGACTTCTTTGATCTCTTTTATGCGCAAACCTGTAGTCTTTTATCATGAAGGCATTGATGAAAATACCTATCGCTCGCCTGAAGTTCTCCATCAAAACTTCCGTCTTCTTTATTTCGGAAGAGTAAACCTCACTTCCAACCATCGGGCAAAATGGAACTTTTCCACCAAGGTCCTGAGCAATGGCTAAAGCTATTGCAGTCTGCGAAGCGCAAAATTTAGAAAATCATAATATAAAAAGTGTTTGGAGCTTGGATTAGAATTTTGCTCTGATACAAGCATATTCAATCATACTAACCTTTCCAGTTCCTGGAGGCCCTGCCATTAAAACTGCACGCCCAGCCATTTTCTTTGATCTGATCATTTCTACTACAATACCAGCGGCCTGGTGTAAAAGTACATCGAAGAAATACACAATACTTCACGCGCGCACTCTTGACCAACAAGTCCACATGCATTTGACAGAGCAGTGCCAGTTTCATCTAACCCAAGGCCCTTGATGTGTGTATGGGCTGCTATTCTCTGAGTTTTTGATGTGCTGCGAACCTCTTCTATTTTCATTATTGTGGACAGTATTGGCAAGATAACCCTGACAACCGAGACGTATGGCGCTTGGAGCAACGGCTGATAATACTGAATGACTTAAACACCAACTTTTAAGTTAAATGGCCACGTCTTAAGCGTGCTGTATTAATGACAGCAAGTAGTCTGATCTGTGCTGTTAAGTGCAGAGGCTATCTCTGTGGAAGTAAGTTTTCTTCTCCAAATAATTCATTGGTGAGTTATATGCTTGTAGTAATAAGTCTCCAAAATCAATAGCTCTGTAAGTCTTCGACATTTGATGCTAACCACATTAGTTTTACTGTACACACCTAGCCGAAGCCTCTTGGTAACGCATCCGCAATAGATCACCAGTGGATACGCCGTGCCATTCATTCCTTTCAACTACTAGCCAGCTTAGACCAAACGATTCTCGATATATCAATAACTTTACAAATATGTCGTTGAACTCCTTCGTTTCTAACTTCTGCTTTGACTCTGTTGGTATACTTCGATTACGAAAATGTTACTGATTAAAGCGTCTTCAAACTCCGAATACCTGTGGCGTCCTTAGTATTGAGACCGACGTGAATTGGTACACCGATTCGTAGACTGTGAGTCTGTTCTTTGTTGGAACATTATATATCCATTTTTAATTTTTATTTTTATATCGTTTGATTTCGTTTTCAGATTTCCAGACACTTTCGTTCATTTGTGTACTTTATGCTCATCATGGCTGAACAATCTCCTAATTTATTTGGGATTAGGACTTCTTCGTTTCCCACATTTCAGCTAATTCCATTTCGGCCCGATAATACCGCAGCCTGGTTCTGTTGCACAGAAGCTAACTTTGAGCACGGCGTTTCGGACACACGTGCACAGTTTTTTCGCAGTAATGAGGGAACTGCCACGTGATTTCAACAGGCAGGTCACACCTGGTTCGTTTACTAGTGATGTTTGGGGGCATTACGAAACTCTAAAAAGGGCTTTTCTTAATTGACCGAAAGGGTTAGATCAACTCTTTCACAACATCAATCGACAACATGGCTCGACGACGGGCATGTTACTACAAATGATGGAGATCATTTTCAACGGGCCTTTGACAAGGGCCTGTTCCGACAACGTTTCTAGTCCAAGCTTCCTCAATGGGTGCAAGCAGTGCTTGTCTCATTTCAAAACAACGCTGTAAACGAACTGGCTGCACCTGCCGAGCGATTTCTTAAGGTCGCCATAGCTTCCAACGTCGATGCTTATTCAGTCAAAGGAAAATCTCGAACGACAAGAAATGATGTCACAGAACTGTGCCATACTGTGACACGTTACCTTAGTATTCTTCATGGTCGTAGAAGATGGCATACCCTGTAATTTTTCACGAGGACGATGTATCTCTAGATCATGAGAAACAAATGACCTTTGTTAGTGTTGGTATCAAAATAAGCATGGATAATCTTCTCGAAATTTCAGAAAACTCAGCAGTTTTCCGATCTCCCGAAAGACGTTCCGAAAGACTTCCTATTAACTTCGCATTAACAGCAACCGTAACCGATGAACATAGACGTTTGTTATGCATCGTTGGTGTAATAAAAAAATTCGCTACCTCGTCAACACTAGTACAGAAGTCAGCATTTTTCCCGTAATCCTAACGACAAACTCCACAAAGCAGTTCTCAACCTACCTTCAGAAAATGGGAAGCCCATCGCCACATATGGTAAGACATATGCTTATCTTAACGTGAGTTTTCGTGAGCCCGTTCACCGGATTTTCGTTGCTACAGAAGTTTCTTTAGTATGGACCTGCCACATCACCAAAATCTACTCACAGACCCGAGCAGACGGAAGTTAGTAGATGGCTATACTGAATTGTCTATTTGTGGAACTTCATTTTCTAGTTGTAGGTTATCTTCAGTCACTTTTATGCACATAATCGATCCATACTATTAACAAGTACTAGATAAGTACCCTGTTATACATCAAACGCAACCGAAATCGCCACGTGTAACCAGCAGTGTTACACATCACACCACGACTACAGGACCACCTGTATTTTCGACAGCGTGCAGAATAGCTACCGAAAAGCTAAGGTTGGTTGACAACGACTTCGACCACATGATAGACTCAGGAATCATTCGGCCATCATGCAGCCCATGGGCATCCTCCTTACACATGGTCTCTAAAAAGAACAGTAGTGATTAGCGTCTAACTGATGACTATCAGTGTCTGGATACGAAAACCACTACCAATCGTCACCCGTTGCCTCACATTCATGATTTGAAAGCTGCCCTAAAATGTACAACTGTCTTTTCAAAAATCGATTTGATTAAAGCGTATGACCAAATTACCATGATTGCTGAGATTTTGTTTACTTGTCATCTTGTAGTTTTGACCAGTCACATTTGAGTAAATTGAATTAATCTATCCAGCAGAGTAGAAAGATGTCATTTACCTGACAGGGACCTCGTTGTTTTCTGGTAAGTAACTAGGTTCGCAGTCTTAAATATTTTTCATGACTTGTTTGTATCCGATTTCAAGAATGTAAGTTGATCGTACAGCTCATTTCCAGAAACTACTCAGGTATATTATAATTTGTATCTTTATACTTATTTCATATAAAATCAATGCCAAAATTTCTTGCCAATCCGGGATCGTGAAGAAGGTTTATAGCTCAAGTGGATGATTTTGATGAAGTTTTGTTCTCTGAGCGCAGAAAACAAAACTCCATCAATATTTTACCGAATAATTATGTTCTGGGTTATATTCGTCGGTGCGTGTCACTGACTGAAAAATTAGGTCGTGCAGCTTACATCAGTCAAACTATTTCTGGACGCTACTATACTGAACAGCTTCGTTTTGGCGATCGTACTGTTCCTTTGGATTTGATTTGTTGCAAAAGAGCTAAAGTCCTTCATCTACACTGGCAGCGCCGATATTCTGTCTATCCAACAGTACTGCGGTTTTGTCTACTGAGATTTTTCAGGTTGTCAGCATTTTATTTGAAATTACCGAACATTTTCTTTTGAGTCTGGTTGCCGAATATCTTCGTTTGTGAAAATACACGGCTTTACGGTTCTAGACATAACCCACTGAAATAGAGTATAATGCTAATCACACGTCAGTAGAATCCAATCTCAGGACCGATGAATGAAACAAGATTTTAACTCCTAGATAACTCTCTCCTGTCACAAAAAACACGTTTTATACTTCTTCACACCATGACCTAAAACCTAGTGACAAATTAGGTGTGGTGAAGCTGACTCTAGTTCAACTGCTCTAGAGATAAAATTACTTCTCTTACTAATGTAATGTGCATCGGACTATAAAGTTGAGAGATATAGTGGGATAAAAACGCGTTAAATATGCAAGAGAATCATTAGAGCATATAAATTAGAATGTGTGACTACGAGCGAGACCGCTGGTCGACTCAACGAGGAAAGTATATAGTGACACCGGAATAACACCGAATAATCACTGCAAATCATTTTTGAATCTAGAAACATAGTACTTTGGAAGATTGACATGATGTTGGAAAAATGGGTGAGGTTAATACAGGTCAGTCTTAGAAAACCATTATGGAAACTCCATGGCTCAGTCATGCAGGAGCGGTCATCCTGAAATTTTATACTCTTTTTATTAGATATGTTATTCTATTAGCAGTGTGAATATATTCTCCAAAGAATCTTGAGCAGTATACCGCCCACTGCCACGACAAGGCAAGTCAGTATGGATAATCATGGAACTTCGACGCAAGGTGAAATATTTAGGTAGCCACACCGCGGCAAGTTCACAATGTAATTCCAACCTTGTCATTTTAGTTGAGTGGATAAGTTCTGTGGTACCGATATCAGGCCTCAGTCTCACAAGCATGGATCGTAGATACGAGAAAAGTGCACAACAGATACTTGGATATCATCAAAGTGGTGTGGCCACTGAATCGGTAAGATTATGATCAGTTAGTCAACAGTTTCACCGTTCATGAAGATCTAGCCGAAGAGTGGGCTGGTGAAGGACTGACTGTATATTCGATTCCTCTTCAACCTCACTGTACTATCCCAGAAATTAATCGTACTACACCTGTAGTACCTGACCCTAGATCAAACAAATCGGTTGATAGTGAACAGGAGCTTGTGCCATTTTGGCTTGCCCGCATGTTGCTAAGGCCACACAAGTATCATAACCCTAAAGACTTTGGAGAAACAGCTGACCCAGTTTGACAGGCTTCAGGTAACTTTAAAATTGTGTAAATGTTATGACCTTGATCTGTCTACTCTAGATTAAGACCTTGAGGCAACAGGCTAGCCGGTTTAAACTTGAGGCTAGTACGCTTGAGTTCGAGGTGGGGTAGAGAGAAGAAAAACTATTCTAGCACCTGATTCGCTGGTAAGCACACAAATGAGAGAAGACAAGACAGTTGGAACACTATTGGTTGTATTGCGATATCCTGATTTCCTGTGAAATCTCTGAATTCAGATTAGTGAAAAAAGGTACATGAATAAATAAGTGAATATCCTGACCAAAACGTACGATAATTAGGAAAGATACAATTATGTCCAAAACCGGGAATTAGAGTACAAAATAAGGTGCAAAATATTGTGTTGAAATTACGATAGCTTCGGAACAAAAAGGGGTGTGGCAATGAATGATACACCTAACGAAAGCTTGAAGTGGCATTGAACCATAACCACACAATCCTCAAAGCTGAAGACGAGATTACTTGGAAGATAGATATTCAAGATTTAATGCGAAGAAATACCGAGCGATAGAGAGGGCGTGAAAAATGAATTGAATGAATTGGAGTTGATCTAATGGCATGGCTCGGCCATGCAGGTGTGGTCCCTGCTGAATATTACCTTATATCTTTTATTCATATCAAATATATTGTTATTTCTCTAGCCTAAGCTTGTTCTTCATCATGTATTGGTAGTTTTTACGACACAGTGAGTTGGTGTAGACGATAATGTGACTTCAACGTAAGATCTTATAGTTTGGCGATTATATCATGACAAATCTACAATTTTAGGATTAGGT